TCTGTGTGAGTCTGTGGGTCTCTGTGAGTCTGTGGGTCTCTGTGTGAGTCTGTGGGTCTCTGTGTGAGTCTGTGGGTCTCTGTGTGAGTCTGTGGGTCTCTGTGTCAGTCTGTAGGTCTCCGCGTGAGTCTGTGGGTCTCTGTGTGAGTCTGTGGGTCTCTGTGTGAGTCTGTGGGTCTCTGTGTCAGTCTGTAGGTCTCCGCGTGAGTCTATGAGTCTCTGTGCGAGTCTATGGGTCTCTGTGCGAGCCTATGAGTCTCTTTGTGAGTCTATGGGTCTCTGTGTGAGTTTATGGATTTCTGTGTGAGTCTATAGGTCTCTGTGCGAATCTATGGGTCTCTGTGCGAGTCTATGGGTCTCTATGTGAGTCTATGGGTCTGTGTGGGTCTATGGGAATCTGTGTGAGTATATGAGTCTCTGTGTGAGTCTATTGGTCTCTGTGTGAGTCTGTGGGTCTCTGTGTGAGTCTGTGGGTCTCTGTGTCAGTCTGTAGGTCTCCGCGTAAGTCTGTGGGTTTCTGTGTAAGTCTGTGGGTCTCTGTGTGAGTCTGTGGGTCTGTCCCCGCCTGAGTCTGTGGGTCTCTGTGTGAGTCTGTGGTCTCTGTGTGAGTCTGTGGGTCTCTGTGAGTCTGTGGGTCTCTGTGTGAGTCTGTGGGTCTCTGTGTGAGTCTGTGGGTCTCTGTGTGAGTCTGTGGGTCTCTGTGTCAGTCTGTAGGTCTCCGCGTGAGTCTGTGGGTCTCTGTGTGAGTCTGTGGGTCTCTGTGTGAGTCTGTGGGTCTCTGTGTCAGTCTGTAGGTCTCCGCGTGAGTCTATGAGTCTCTGTGCGAGTCTATGGGTCTCTGTGCGAGCCTATGAGTCTCTTTGTGAGTCTATGGGTCTCTGTGTGAGTTTATGGATTTCTGTGTGAGTCTATAGGTCTCTGTGCGAATCTATGGGTCTCTGTGCGAGTCTATGGGTCTCTATGTGAGTCTATGGGTCTGTGTGGGTCTATGGGAATCTGTGTGAGTATATGAGTCTCTGTGTGAGTCTATTGGTCTCTGTGTGAGTCTGTTGAGTCTATGGTCTCTGTGTGAGTCTGTGGGTCTCTGTGTCAGTCTGTAGGTCTCCGCGTAAGTCTGTGGGTTTCTGTGTAAGTCTGTGGGTCTCTGTGTGAGTCTGTGGGTCTGGCCCCGCCTGAGTCTGTGGGTCTCTGTGTGAGTCTGTGGTCTCTGTGTGAGTAGTGGTCTCTGTGGTCTATGTGAGTCTGTTCTCTGTGTGGTCTGTGGGTCTCTGTGTAGTCTGTGGTCTCTGTGTGAG